AAATAGAAAACTAAAAATTGATAATAAAAGGGTAAAAAAATATATACGTATATATGTATGTATAAACATACATGCATATATACATACATACATACATACATACATGCATGTATATAAACATGAATACATACATACATACATACATTCATACATACATACATTCATACACACATACATACATACATACATACATACATACATACATACATACATACATACATACATACATACATACATACATACATACATACATACATACATTCATACATACATACATTCATACATACATACATACACACATACATACATACATACATACATACATACATACATACATACATACATACATACATACATACATACATACATACATACATACATACATACATACATACATACATACATACATACATACATACATACATACATACATACATACATACATACATACATACATACATACATACATACATACAAGTATACAAGTATACATATATTTTAACTAATTTTACTAGTTATTTTGGTTTATGAGCTAAAAACCTTTTTTAAGTTTTTATTATTTCGCTATTATTATTTTGGCACAGTGTACATTTAAACTTTATGCGATTTATTGATAAGCAATGTATCAATGCAACTTGGGAATATATTAACTAAACTGAATTTTGAGATGCGCTTGCAAACGTCAACATGTCCTTCACTGATTTCAAATAAAAATCCAACAGGATTAGCAATAAATACTTTGAACACAGTCTTCAATATTTTAGATAAAGGATTTTTTTTTAAATAAAGAAGTTGACGTTTTGTTCTTGACATGGTATTCTAAATTAAAAGTGCTCCGGTTTTTTGTTTGTTTTACGATTATAAATTTTCCTCAACGAACAATATTGAGTTTGCAAACCAAAATATAATTTTTTAGAGATTTGTAACTCGTGAATGCCAATGATTTTTATTGTTTATTTTTACACATTTTTTAATCAACACTTCTTTACAAAATGTAACAAAAGTTTGATATAAGCAATCAAGAAGAGTAAAGTAAACGCATTTAAATATAATCTAATTTAAATCACTTGCTGCAATGTTGCAGCACATGTTATGAGGGCAAAAAAGTCGTCAATCTAACTCATTTTTTCTAAAATAACAAAAAAGCACAATTTACAAATTGTATCTTTATTTACTAACCTTACTTCAACATTTTGTACTTTATAAAAATTGATAATTAAGTAAATAAAATAAAGACTAAGAGGGAAAGTTTGTGTAATTTTTTTTATGTAGGCTGTAAAAGTATATTTATACTTTTAGGTGATACGTCATATTTAGGTGGTTAGTTATTAAAATTATTTTTTAATTCTATTTTGATTCTTAGAAAGCGTTGCAAGAGCAAGTTTTACATGGAAAAAATCTTTTTAATAACTTAAACTAGATTTTTGCCCCTGGTGTCTTATATTACTTTACAATCCTTGAGAAAATTTTTCTCTATAAGTTCTCATATAGTAGTTAGATTGTCATTTAAGTTCTAAAGTCTGAGTAAACTAGTTTTGAGATATCAACAAAAAAACAAAAAACCACTCTTAGTTGCAGTTCATCAAAAAAAAATTTTTTACCTATTTTTAGAACCAAAACGACATGATAAACAAAATAGTAGCTTACATTAGCCAAACGTTGAGCTGATGCATAGCTATACAACAGCCCATCGTTGAAAATCAATATTGGCTCATTACCGGTTTGTTCATTGTTTAGGCATTAGCTTAACCTCCTATACTGTATTGTTCCAACGTTGTATAGAAAGTTGGCCTAACTTTGTTAACAATATTAGCCCAATATCATATGAAACATTAAGCCAAAAATGTATACAACTTTGGGCCAATGTTATTATAAATTAGCTCCATACTAAACTAAACAACATATGTTGTATATCATTCCAACGTTATATGCAACATCGGATAGTTGTTACACATAAATAATTTGCATCGCTACATTGAAATTTATAGAGAAATAAAAAAAGCGTAAGATAAAAGTTATAAGATTTTATTTATATAATTTACATTAGTTTTCCGCTAAAAATACAAATTGCAAGTCTCCGAACATAAACCAAAAACAAACACATTAAGTTTTCAATAAAAAAATTCCCAAAAAAATTTTAGGAGTAGCATCGAATATGGCTGACCTACAAAATATTGAATCGTGTTTAGCTATATATAAAATAACTTGATACCTACAACTATTAGCTACTTTTCCATCATTTCTATCTCATACCTGCCGACGCCATGCTTATTTGACTTCACACCAAAAAAACTAGTTGTTTATTTAATTAAGCACCAATGAAACATAAAAAACTGAATTTTTTTGTGTAATGCATAACTAAATTTAAAAAATAACTTTTTTAAACCACTTATTTATAGCAGCATATGCAATAAACGAGCTTATCTATAGCAGTATAAGTATATATATATATATATATATATATATATATATATATATATATATATATATATATATATATATATATATATATATATATACATATATATATAAATATCCAAACGTATTACGTAGGCATTAAAAAGTACTTTAATGTAACACTTGCATGATTTCTTGTTTTAATGTGAAAAGAATTTTACTCAATCGTGGTTTTACAATCAATTATTTACTCTACTTTATCAAAGAAGCATTAAGTTTTTATAAAGAAAAAACTGTAGGTCTGGTTCAATTATTGAATAACAGATAGATATAATTTTTTTTATTAGTTTTTAAATATAAATTAGTTTTATGTTTTTCTTTACCGGATTTTCTATTTAATATGGCGAGTTTTTTGCATTTAGTCTGGCAGTTTTTTGCATTTAATAAGGCAGTTTTTTGCAATTAATCTGGCAGTTTTTCTTTATTATCGTAAACAGTTTTGATTTTATAGCTTTATTTAAATTAATTGTGTTATATGCAAATTAAATTCGTTTTTTTGCACGAAGTCAATTCACAGAAATTAATGTTGCAGTAAGAAATTTCATTATTATTCTTGTTAACAAAGGAAAAATAATTTTTTTCGAAAGAGTCAAAGAGTATCGGACATAGAAGGGAGACTTTAATTCGACACCTGTTCCATCGATATATAGTAGAGGTGGTTTCGACACTCATGTGTAATGAGGAAGTAAGAAATAATACGAGTTATACGAGTTAATTGGAGATAACAGAAACTATAATCTACAGT